ACAATGGAGATAGGGATAGAAACGGAAAGAATATTGGGGATGATTAACAAGGAATTTAGAGAAAGTAAAGCCTAAGCTCCCAAGAAAAATGGGCAGAGCAGTAAGAACTCGTTGGCAAGTGGTGGAAAGATTCTCAAGAGTCCAGTTTTGAGGAACTCAGACATTACTACTGAAAATGGCATGTGTTACTACAGTGTGAAAGTGATGTCTGCATTTTCTAGGACTACATATATAATGAAACCAGGTTAAGTAAAACTTGCATTAGTTTTATTTATGACTTTCTATACTGTATTTATGACTATAAAATAGAATAGAGTCAATAATAGTTTGCAGGGAAATGCAAGCATTCATGGCCCTTGATATTAATACTGAGATAGATACAATGGCTTCAGCAATGCTGATGAAAGGTTATGGGATGATGACGGAAGTTATCACTATAATCATGAAAGGATGACAGCTCCTTTCATGTCTATTGACTAGAAGGAATGAAATATTAGGCTTCCTTTTTTGAAAAGAAATATATCTCAGTGACATAAGCAAGCCTATGCCTGTATTTCTTAGTTTAGTCCAGTTTGATCCCCGCAAAGCTGGATTTCTTTTGGTAAGTAAGGAAGAATAGCCAGATAGTGACTGGAAGGTACTGTGGACCACGGATCCTTGGCTTCTTGCTATTGTGATCTCTGTATACAATTCATTTAGTCTTTTTCATCCATTAAATCCTGTATATTTAGTACTATAGCAACCTATATTTTGTAGGTAAGAAAATTTAGGATTATTTACATACTTAGCATCACCAAATTAAGCAGCTGGTAGGATTTTTTTTTTCTGGTAGAAATTTTTGAATGAAGACACCTGCAATGCTCATTGTAAGAGGAAATGAATGAATAAAACATTTTTCTTCTAGACTTTAGTTGAAAATGAAAATAATTATTATTTATTATGTACGACTGTTATAATATAGTTATGATTTTTATGTAATTATTTCAATTGTTAAAACATCAAAATATCTATTAATGATGATTACATAAGATGCTTTTATGTTAGGATTAATTAGGTGGGGTGCCCAATTGAATATGGGATTGGTTACTAAAACAGCTTTAAAGTTTCTGCTTCTTAAATGTCCGTATAGTGACAAGTCATCCCACATCAATAATTAACTTAAAAATACTTCCCAGCCATACCGACATCCTATTATGACGAAGTGATTTTTTTCCAGTTTATGTTCCCCCTTCCCAGATGACTCAAGCCACGTTGATTAAAACTATTAGCATAATTGATTCCTCATGGACTTGACTCACCAACAGAATACTATTAAACTATAACTTTTTCTTGTTTTTGCTACCAAGATCTCATAGTAATATCACAATATAAGATGTAAATTTAAATGCCATGTTAAATGCTTTCTTACTCCATGAAGGAGGAGTCCAAACACAGCTACCACCAAGTCAATGAAAAACCGATACCTATCAGTGCAAATCAAGTCCTATAGCTTAGAGTGTGGTGTTTTGAAATCACAATTTTCTTGCTCAGAAGGGCTTGGGAAACTCCATCCTTTCACCTCCACCACACGCAGTCCACAAACTTGTCTTGTAGCCTCAAGCTAACTTTGCTGCACACTGGCCACTATTCCTTGTGGTCATTCCATAGCCCTGGAATCTCCACAGTCTTGGGTCTCCACTGCAGCTGAGGTTTCATCTCTAGCATATTCTGGTTCCTTTTCAAGGACTTCACACTTGCCCTATGACGGGAAAGCTAGTTTCTTTCCATTATCCCTCCAATGTTCCAGTTTTCATGCCATCAAACGTAAGTAATTGGAGACTTTTTTTTTTTGCTTTTTTTAAAAAATTTGATTTTTATTGAGCTCTACATTTTTCTCTGCTCCCCTTCCTTCCCCTCCCCTGAGACTCTTACACATTACCAAGTTTAGCTTCCATCTTGAAGTGCAGCTTTGGCTGCCCTGGGTCATAGCTGTGTGCTGACTCTGAGGAAATACCCTCCAGAAGGTTTCACTCAAAGATACTGGTCTCTTATCAGTCACAGCTGAGTTTTCAGCCCCAGATAACCAGTATCTACTTTCCAAGTAATGCGGCATTTTACTTACGTGGCTCTGGTTTATTGTTAATTGCACCTAATTCTTCAGCTCTAGCTGACCAGAATGACAGAGTCTTAATTCAACATATCACATGAATAGCCCTGATAGTCCTTGAGGGTTTCTCTAACTTCTTTCTGACACTTCACCACCCAGGCTTCCATTATCAGCCTTTCTCCCTACACTCCTATCTTTCAAACTCCCACTGAACAGCACGTTTAGCTATGAGCAGTCAACAGTTTTCCAGCCTAAAGCTTCCAATGCTTCCATAATCCTTCCAAAAACCACATGGTCGAGTCTGTCACAATAGTCCATTCTTTGATACCAATTTCTGTTTACTTTCTACTGCTGGGGTAAAACACTGTCCAAAACCAGCATAGAGGAGGAAACAGTTATTTCATTTAACAGTTTACAGTCCATCATGAAGGGAAGTCAAAAGCAGGACCTCTTGTCAGGAACTGAAGCATGGCTTGCTTAGCTTCCTTTCATATTCAACCTAGGATAAACTATCCCAGGTCTGAACCCCCCACAGTGGGCATGACCCTCCCTTATCAATCATTAATCAAGAAATCGCCTACATACTTGTGTACAGGCCAGTCTGATGGAGGCATTTTTTTCAATTGAGGTTTTCTCTTTCTAGATGCTGCTAGCTTGTGTCCAAGGAAACTAACCAATTCAAATACAAAACAAATTATCCTGGTTGACTGATAAAGTTTTATGTTATGAATGCAACAGAATTACCATTGGAGAACACCTACCACTAGAATATTGTGTCTTGTTTCCAGAGACTGTTTTATGGTTATATAGTTGTGTTATCTGACTCATCATTTTTTTCTTTTGAAAGTTCAGGTATACTTTACAAGTATAAGTAATGAGCTGATTGTTGTGTTAGTGGTATAAGAGAACTTTCATGAAAATAACATTATAGTCAATTCTCATTAAGTTAGGAACACTAGAAATAAAGCTCCTATTTTCTTCCATTTTTTTTCTGTATTTTATTTTACATATCAACCACAGTTTTCTCTCCCTCCTCTCCTCCTGTTCCTTCCTCTCACCTTTTTTCTACACCCATCATCATCTCCTCCTCCATCTCTATTTAGATGGGGTAAGTTATCCCTTTGGAATCAACAAAGAATGGCATATCAAGTTCAGGCGATACCAAACTCCTTCCCACTGCATCGAGGCTGAACAGGAATCAACAAAGAATGGCATATCAAGTTCAGGCAATACCAAACTCCTTCCCACTGCATCGAGGCTGAACAAAGCATCCCACTATAGTGAAGAGGTTCCAAAGAGTCAGCTCACATAATTCTGGTCCTACTGCTAGGGACCCCACAAAAGACCAAGCTACATAACTCTCACCTAGATGCGGAGGGCCTTGGTCAGTCCTATGCTGGATTCCAAGCTGTTCACCCAGAATCCGTGAGCTCACACAAGCTCGGTTCAGCTATTCCTGTGGGCTTCTCCCATCATGATCTGGACCCCTCCCCCTTGCTCATGAAATTGCTTCTCCCTCTTTTCACAAACTCCTGGAACTCTGCCCAGTGCTGGGCTGTGAATCTGCTTCATTTCCTCCAATTTTAAGGTTAATTGATATATTAGTTACTTTCCCTGTTGCTGTGAAAAAAATATGACATGATTTCAGGAGAAAGGCTTTATTTTGGCTCACAGTTTGAGAGTGGTTTCTAAACACGTAAAGAAGTCTTGGTGACAGGAACTCCAGGCTGCTGGTCACATTATATCTGTATTCAGAAAGCACAGGACAATAAATTCCTAGTCCTACTTTTTATATTTTTCATTCAGTCCAAAGTCTAGTCTGGGAACTGGTCGCAGTGGGAGTGTCTTTCCACCTTAATTAAACTTATATAGACATTACCTCAACTCATGTCTAGAGTCTCAGCTTACCTAGGTAACTCCTCAATCTACCATGTGATTCCAAGTCCCATTTACCCACTGAGACTCAATGTCACAGCTGTGGTAGAAATTCTTCAAAATACAGGCAATATTACCATGCATGTTCAAAACTATCTGGAATTCAAACATTATCTTAGAAGATAGTATAATACATTTCCAATGAAGTGACATAACACTGAAATTTTAACTTAGTTCTTGCTTCAAAAGTAGACACTAATTATTTTCAACTTAAGCCCCAGGTTAGTCTTCTTTTATTTGGAGCTGAGACAAACCTAAACACTGCTATACTTCAAAACTGCAATAAAGGTTAGAAACTATACTTGACCAAATTTGTACTCTTAGAAATTAATTATTATCAGACAGAGTGGTAGTGGTACATGCCTTTAAACCCAGCACTTGGGAGGCAGAGGCAGGCAGATCTCTGGGAGTTCGAGGCCAGCCTGGTCTATAAGGGCTAGTTCCAGGACAGGCACCAAAGCTACAGAGAAACCTTGTCTCAAAAAAAAATTAATTATTATCAACAAAATTCTTATAAAACTCAACCTGTTACTGTTTAATCTTTTCTAGGATTGCTAAATTGACATACAAAGTGTTTCAGTATGTCTCTAAACATGGTAGCAAAGACAAGGTTTAAAGGGTAGAACTTGTATTCTTGATTTACTTACTTTTGATTTGAAAATGGTTTCTATCTATATTTGGCATTAATTATATAGATGACTTATTTTCAGCTCTTTATTAGATTTTTTGGATTTTATTTATTCATTTTATTTTATTTATTTGAATTATATTAACTTTTAGAATACTATTCATAAAGTCCTGCCTAAGTATACATTCGTTTTTCTCAGAATTAACATTCAGTCATTTAGAAAAATAATATTTCAAAAACAGTTGTTGGTCTCTTATAAATTTTGTTGCATATTTTTAATAATTCTTTTTTGACAGGAAAATGACTGATGACTTTCTCCATACTAAAATGTGATTTTTCTTATTTTTGTAGGTTTTATTGGGATTTAATAATGCTGATAATGATGGTTGGAAATTTGGTCATCATACCAGTTGGAATCACATTCTTTACAGAACAAACAACAACACCGTGGATTATTTTCAATGTGGCATCAGACACCGTTTTCCTATTGGACCTAATCATGAATTTTAGGACTGGGACTGTCAATGAAGACAGCTCTGAAATCATCCTGGACCCTAAAGTCATCAAGATGAATTATTTAAAAAGCTGGTTTGTGGTTGACTTCATCTCATCAATCCCAGTGGATTATATCTTTCTTATTGTAGAGAAAGGAATGGACTCAGAAGTTTACAAGACGGCCAGAGCCCTTCGCATTGTGAGATTTACAAAAATTCTCAGTCTCTTGCGTTTATTACGCCTCTCAAGGTTAATTAGATACATACATCAGTGGGAAGAGGTAAGTCACATGTTTTCTTTCTTTAAGCCATTGTATCGTGATTTTCATGATGATTATTTGAATGTATATTTTCTATGTTTCTATTGCATGGGATTTAAGAACAAATAAATCCCAGACTTCTCTTTTCTGGTATTTAGTGATATTTGGATCTCTGAAAGATTTGAATCAACTGAAAGTAATTACAAAACATTCTACCAATTGAATTTATTTTAAGCAAATACACTTTCCCTGGCATATTGTTATCCTAGGCAGTACAAATTTTCCCATGCCTTGGAAGATTCTTTTCATTTGATTAGGGTGCATCAAATTTCATCCTTGACGAAGCTGCATAGGGTATGATTGGTGATCTAATTTATCATTACATGGAATTTATGATGGAGCAAACTGGATTGTTTCATTGGTTATCTCTCAATTCTAAAAATTCATATATGAGTTTAGCATACTAAACCTGCTTATTGTTTTTTGTTGCCTACAGTATTCCCCAATTTCCTCATCATTTTCCCCAATTAGTCCATTTCATAACAGTGAAAAAAACACCATACCTAGGAAGGAAATTAGTACGTGGAGAACACAAAGAAATAAATGCAGTGAATCTAGCCAATTAGGCCTCTTTGCTGCTGAATAGGGCTTCTGCTGTTCTTAGACAGTGGGTGGGATGGTGAAAGAGCCCTGCCAACTGCAGTTTCCAAAGGTCTGAGTTAAATATACCACCATCAAGCAAATAGGTACCTCTTTCCACAGCTAGTATAGTCACCATTTTTGGCTTTTTCCTTCATAAGCATAACTCTTTATATTAATTGTAAACTGGATTTGATTGTCTGCATAAGAATGAGAGCTAAAAACTCTCCAGAGTACCACAAGGAACTCTGGAAGAAAAGCAGTACACGACTCTAAGTTGTTTTGCTTCTACACAAATGCCTTTTGGTATTTAAAAAAACAAATTCTGCTTTTAAAGAAGTCATAAAATGCAAGTTTTATTTACTTCCTGGGCAGCTGTAGCAATGTTTTCTCTGCACGCTTGTTTGTCAATGACATTTTGGTTCACAGGATTTCAGGAAATGACACATAATAAGAAGACAGTACATAGCACACTGACGAAAGCCACACAATGGATCATTCTTAAAATATGGAGCTGGAATACAGTTATTATCAAATGAAGCATATTTGAGGAACTGGATTCGCTTGTAATATATCTGTATATAGTACAAACATCTAAACGAAAATTAATGTTCAGTTCTCAAAGCATTTTTTGCAAATAAATTGAAAATATCAAATCAAGATAATTCTTGATAATAACCAATATTCATTAGGGACCTTGTATTAATGACAAGCAGTTTTTGATTTTTTTTTGTACAAATTAGCTCCCTGAACCTTTCCTACCACCCAACAAGACAGATTCTATTGTTATCATTTTCAGATGAGGACAAGCAACCACTCTCAGGCTCCTTGCCGGAATGAAGAGGCTGTTAAGGCTTGTAGCAGTGACTCTTATTATGGCAACCTGGCTCCAGAGTCATACTCTCAACCTGAAAAAGTGTGCAGGTCTCACTGAAGCTTGTATTCTTTTCTTTATAAACATAATATTATCCCACCATTTTATAGATTGTTTATGGACCTATACAGAGCTTTTCTTACATGAGAATGTGGCCATTGTACTTTTATAAGACTAAACATCTACCCTTAAAGCAAGGACACAAAAATACGTTGACCTATAGTCTCGGATAGAACTCCCCAGTCAATTAAAAATACAGTAGGCAGTGTGACTATTTTGTAATGGCTTTCAGCTTTAACCCAGTTATTCCAGAGAATGGCAGCAGGATGAACAGATGGCATTCAATCAGATAAAACGACAGAGCATGTGGCCAGAGGGGATACTCCCTAACACCAACGTTTTCTGTTCCTGGCAATGGTCACAGGCACCTAGATCTGTGCAGAATGACAGGATTTAAAGGTGCCCGCGATGTCATTCAGAAACATCAACCGTCTGATCTCATTGTTGAGAAATGCAATTTAATATGCACTCAGTGAGATTTGCCAACCACACGCATTTGGGAGACAGTTGTGAGTAGGCAAGATCTTTCTTATAAATAAATGACCTTGGTAATAAATGAGTCAGAAGCTCATTTAGCTGAAGAATGTATTTATATGATATACCCATACAATAAATATCATGAATGTTTAATGTCTGATAGCAATACTCTTACGAAAGATGAAGAAATGGAATCACACTCCAGAATTTCATGTAAAGTCATTTATTCCACCTACACAATTCAAACTTGTAGTCACACACACACACAAAAGCTTGAATGGTTCCCAAACTGGCATGTCTCTACCTGACTTTTGTAAATGTCACCAGGATGTGTTTACAAGTAGAAATACAACAGGTTAATCATCAGAAGTATCTGTATGAGCTTTTAGATTGAGACTGCAGAGGAAGATGTGAGTTCACCCACATGGCTTTGAATTCTGAGTGTTTTAGTACCAGCCTGGCTAATGCTAAATTCAGCGAGTTTGCGGAAGTCACGTGTGAAGTCTGGAGGCTGCCACTGTTCTAAATGAGTCGTTCGCAAGGCAAGCAGCTGCCTGCTATAGGGAACTGTTCTCATCTTTGGTGGTGCATTCTTTTCCACCCCCAGCCTGGATTAGTTCAACTAAAATACAACAAGATGCTCTGAAGCCAGATAAATTAGAGAAATACTATGAATGGGATGCAGGAGGTGTAGCATTTACCCTCAGTGGTCCATCAGTGCTACAGGTGAGCGTGTAGGAGGAAACAGTTGGTCAGGATGATCAATTTATCAATGCCCTGGGGTTAAAGTATCAAGGGGTATTTACTTCTTAAGTCAGTTGTAAGATCAATGAGTTAGAGTGAAAAGACTGAACTTTTTCAGACTAGGTTGAAATTTTATATACTGTCAACGACATGGAAATCTGACAATTTATATAAATTAGGCTAGAAATTTTGTTTTTCCTTAGTAAAATTTTGAGCAAAGGGGCTTTCTCATTCTTGTGCTATGGGTTTTATAAGTCATTCTCCTAACCAGTGATATTGTTTTTCCTGTGGACATCTTTCAACTATGCCAGAGTTTCTTGTGGGATGTCTGTTTTATAATCTATCACAGGGGAAAAAATTCTGTGTGACCCTCCAAAAAGACACATATGGTGAGGAAATCCTTGAAAATTAAATGGAACATTATTAACAATTTGTGATGATCACAAACCGCTAAAGAGATAAAGACCAGATTAAAAACTCAGCAAAAGGGGGATTATTCGCTGCACAAAAGCGAATGGCTCTCAAAACCTCAAGTGCCCTGCTGCTGACCTCAGCCTTTTGTCCAAGGGGATGATCCCTGGGCCATTCTAAAGCCTTATAAAATATCATTTGAAAGCATAAAAATCACTTTGTATATGGTTACTTTGGAGTGTTGCTACAATCCCAGAGCTACATGGGAGACCGAGTCAGGAGAAAGACCAAGAGTTCCAGGCAGTCTGAGCAATATAGTTAGATTTCAACATAGAAATAACGGAATGCAGAATAACATTTGAAGACAATAATTCCCTTTTGTAGGGGTTATCTGTTGTAGGTTTCCATATTTCAACTAAACTAAACATTCATTCGTGGATCATGTAAAATTGTAGTGCAATGCCAAAACTTTCTGGTATAGAGTACATTTTTTTTTTTGAGTTCTCATTTCCTATTTCCTCAACTTCTTTTGTGTGGATTTTAAGTATGTTACAACCAAGTAAATGCACTCTTTGGCAGAAAGGAAGGCTTGCAACTCTGAATATCTTAGGCATGACAGTTGCAGATAGATAACTTTTTTGTTGTTGTTGGCATATTATCTGCTTTTCTACTAATATATAATAGATTGTGATATTGGATTAAAAAGAGATTTGTTTACAGTTTGTGAACAGCCACACAACATTGTTAAGGAGACAGACTTATATGAAACTTAGACACGACTGTCTTCCAGTTTTTTGTTAATTTTAGCATGTTATTTGGTTCAAATTAAAACTTCAATCTTGGTATGTATTATTTAGCAATTCAATACTTTAATATATTTTAAGGACTTTGATTTATAGAAAATACATAGATGTTTAAGTCTTGTCACAAGCAAATAATGTGTTTGCTGAAACCTGCCTACTACGAGAACATAGAGAGGATCCTAGACAGTCTTGCTCATACCTATTGCATCCAATCTGTGTTTCTTTCATGTGCCTTCAAGGCTCTCTGGCACACAGCACTCATTTCAGCACTGCTACTTCTTTGCACCAACATTTGTTTGTTTTTGTTTTACTATAACTGAAAATAATGATTATCCCCAATGCAATAAGGTTTCATGTGTATATCACCTCAGTCATTTTTTCCATTTGTCTGTTCTTTAAAAATGAATTCAAAGCCATTTTCACAATATATTCTATCTAGATGCACTCAGTTGTAATTGCTAGTATTATTATTATTCTGATATCTTCTACTGGCTCCTGATATTTCAGTTCATGATATTATATATGCTGTCCTTGCCTTTTCAAGACATGAACATTTAATTGGAGAAGTATATGTCCTTTTTGCCCTTGCCTCTCCTTGGGTACTAGGATAGGACCTCAAAACACAACATAAGAGCATGCTTAGAAAGATATCTGGAGTGAAAAAAAAATAAGAGCATGCTATCTGTTACACGATAATTTAGGTACTAAACTGTTGGAGAGAGGCCACTTGTTGGTTCCCGACTGCTCAGCCCCAAAACAATCACACAGAAACTGTATTAATTAAATCACTGCTTGGCCCATTCGCTCTAGCTTCTTATTGGCTAACTCTTACATATTAATTTAACCCATTTTTATTAATCTGTGTATTGCCATGTGCCTGTTGCTTACTGGCTAAGGTTCTTTCTGGCACCAGTGGGGCTACATGGCTTCTCCCTGACTCTGCCTCCTTTCTCCCAGCATTCAGTTTAGTTTTCCCTGCCTACCTAAGTTCTGCCCTATGAACAGGCCAAGGC